GGAGGAGGAGGAGGAGGAGGAGGAGGAGGAGAGAGATGCTGTTCAGGATGCTAATAGAACTTGACTTCTGAGCTTGATGATCCCGGTTTCAATTAGCACATTTCTATCTCCCAGTGGGTCTGGGCGTGTGTCGCTTTCAGTGGGAAATACAGTAGCTTTTCACGACCTCAGTGCATTCTTGTCGTATCTCTATTTTCTCTCTCTTTTTTTTGTTGGTTTTTTGTGTCTAGCAGTGAAAACATTTCATAAGTGCTCTGGTGTTGTTTGCTTCTTCTGTCCTATCAAACATCTATCATCCTTTTCTCCCCTTCTTTTTTATGTTTGTTACTCTCTTGTAACACATCTAATCTTCTGGCGCTCATATAACCTTATGCAGTTGCGAGCGCCGTAAAACCTCTACCAAAACTATAGCAGTTCATAACAAAGAGTGAGCTTAAGGAAAAGTCACATTTTCAATGTAAAAATAAATTAATGGAGATACGACAAGAAAGCACCGAGGTCGCGTTTTATTGTCTAAATCATGTTTTGAACTTCTTTGAGGATGTCATTGTTATTTGTGTCACGACGTGGAGGAATCAGGCGCTCGTCAGTATTTGGACAAAATATCAGGTTATCGGTATTACCTTAAAGCCTGTTCATTTGCCTTTCTTTATGTGAAAAAAACATCCAACTATGTTGAATAGAAGTCGAAATATTTGCGAATGAAGTAGGTCAGGGTCGCCTGGTTTCAGAGGTAAAATTAGCGAGAAAATGGCCGCCAAAGTTTGGTAACCTTCATAGCCTGAAAATCCTTAGAAACTGAAACTTTAATTATTTTGTGCCTTTAGTCAATGTTTTCAGTAAAATCCACCAAAATGTGTTTTTCAACGGACAAGAAAGGTGTTGACCTAAAAAAAAAAAATATGTATAAGTAAATTAGAAGAAAAAACATTCCATCTGCGAATGAAATGACAATTTCTTTAATTTCATTATTTTGACGAGCGCCTGATTTCTCTACGATGCCTCACATTTTCCTCTTCTCACCGCCCAGGGCAGTACATGGTGACATTCCCACTAGAAGGCTGGTCACAACAAACAACAAAGCCCTTTTAGAATCAACAAATTATAATAATATATTTTTGTCCGAATGAGTTTTAGAAACAACAGCTTAATTCTATCTTCGAAATTTGTTTTTGACGTTATTCTACCAATATATCTGTCTGTTTATCTTTGTGTCTGTCTGTCTGTCTCTCTGTCTGTTATGTAGGTGTTTGGTGGGTGCTCTGGTGTTGTTTGCTTCTTCTGTCCTATCAAACATCTTTCGTCCTTATCTCCCCTTCTTCTTTTTTATGTTTGTTACTCTCTTGTAACACCTCTAATCTTCTGACGCTCATATGTCCTTATGCAGTTGCCAGCGCCGTAAAACGTCTGCTAAAACTAACTGTCTGTCTGTCTGTCTGTCTGTCTGTCTGTCTGTCTGTCTACGTCCCAACATGGCACTAACCTTTCTTTCTTCTCCC